CCCCGGCCTCGGCAGTGTACGCTGCCCGGGGCCGGCTCCCCTTCCTCACAGGCATGGCGGAGCCAAGCGGCGCGCCTGCGCAGGGCGGCTCCGGGAAGCGCTGCATCGGTGTTGTACAGCTTGCTGGGGGAGATGAGAGCTCTTGGCTCCCGAGGCAGCTTCTCGCCCTGAAAAATAAATAGCGGTTAAGCTGCTTTTCGCGAAGGATTCGGACTAAAGCAGTTTCGTAAGCTTGAGCCTCTGGGGTTAAGCATGAAGGACTAACCGCTTCTTGTTGATGATGCTGAGAGTGGATCTCATCTGGTAAAACCCTTCCAGAAAGTCCCTTGACTAATGTTATTTTTCGGAGTATTTGCTTTCCGGTGAGCAATGATGAGAGGATACTGTTAGCTTTGTCCTGTGAATACTGTGAGAACGGTTTTGTTCAAAATGATCTCAAATTTAGTGCCTCAAGACTGATATTTCTATTTTACATCCATTAGTGCACATCTCGCTCATTTCTTGTAGCAAAAAGATGTGTTGTAGTTTTTTGATTGTTAGCACTGCTGTTTGTTCTTCCCAGTGCTGTTGTACAGCATATGCATTTGATTTCTCGTGTCCAGTAGCCAGGGTGACAGACACACAAACAAACAGGATGAGCTTTAGAGAAGGATTTGGGGATCCTTAAGAACAAAAGGTCCTAGAGAAGCAAGCATGTAGTTTTACTTGAGAACATAATTGATCACTCTCGCCAAAAGCAGTGGGGGGTTTGGGGTTTAGGATTGGGTTTTGGTTTATTTAAAAAAACACTTTGTGCAAATTTAGAGAAGCTTGTGATGTAAACATGTTGAACAGCATGACAGCCTTCCAATCAAACTAAGTTTTATTTATTTATTAACTCCTCTTTTCCTCCTTTTCTAATAAAAGGGCAGGAACCCTGAGTGGTTAATGTGTGGGATTGGAATTGTCTGAGCCCTAGTCCCAAGTGATAATGGCGCCTTTTGGAGTCTTTTTGCCTGGGGAACAAGCATTGAGTTTTGACTCAGTGTTTGTTTTGGATGTAGTAAATACATATTCCTTATTCATATTTTGAACTTATGAGCATTGTGGTATTATCACAATATAAATTTTGACACTTAAAAAGAAAGTTGAATCAGGATTACATAAGATTGTCCTAAGTATGGGTCTCTGAATTGAATGTCTCTTTCCTGGCTTTTTGATGTAACTATTTTCATGTTTACCGTTTCCTTTGTAAGAGTGTCTTTTCTCTGTTCAGTCACCTGCCAGTTTCTGGGTGCAAAATATTTGACAGTACATCTGAGAGGAGGGAAGTAGGCAGTGGTGCTAGTTCTTAGTGTAAAGAGTTTTCAGACTGTCTGATTTCTCAGGAGCAATGATCAACACTTCCAGCGTTCCAACAGCTGTAAGTGGTTTTTATGAAAAGTCCCTGAAAGTGGTTTCTCCTGAGGCTTCTTCTTTGCTTAATGCTTCCGTTTATATAGTTCACCCTTCCTCTGGCTTCACAGGAAAATGTTTTCATAGGATGGAATTAGAGCACCTGAAGAGGCTACGTCAGACCAACCAGGACCTTCTACAAAGGCTCAGAATGAAGCAGGAAGAGATCAGAAAAAGACTTCCTGGCAAGCCACTTTTTCCAGCATACCTTCATGATAGAAGAGCGACTGAAAGATCTGTCCCCTCGCCCAAGAAAGGGGTATGTGTTGTGTCTGTGCGAGAAGTGCTGCAAAGCAAATGGGCCTTGTATGTTAAGCAGCAGCTCTGCCTATGGAGTGATGTGGTAGAGGTGACACATTGACGTGGAGCAGCTGTAGCAAGTGGAATATGGAGTCTCTTAGAAAAGTGGCTAGACTTTTGTTCGTTGTTTATCCTGTGGTCGCAAATGTATTCTCCTTGAAAAGGGTTCAGAGATCAGTTCCTGCCTAAGAAATGTAGGTTTCTTAATCTAACATAGGAATGAACATGGTGGAACATAATCCTTTTATTTATTCTAAGCACAAAGACTGACAGTTTAGCAGGTCCCCAAATTGGGAAAAGCTGCATTTAGCTGGAAGTGGACCCCTGTCTTATCTTCTCCAAACACTTAGTGATGTCTAATGAATAATACAAAGGTTTTGTTTTTTTCCCCACAGGAATTTAAAGGGGTGAGCAGTCTAGAGTGAGAGGTTGATTTTTCTCTTACTGAATGAAATATCATAATGAAAGCTACCTGTAATCTGAATGATGCCATGTGGTATGAGAGTCTCTGTCCTTACAGAAGGAAAATCAGGTTGACGCTGTGAAGTCTGCAGCTGACCCTGCAGTGTTGGTGTCTGTGGAACCTGGAGCTTACACAGCCAGAGCAGCCCTCCGTTCATCTCTTAAGCACAACAGCACAGACAGAGAGGTACAGCAACAACAAGCCAAAATGCAGGAAACAGTAGGTTTGGATTCCAGCTTTCCTGGGAAAGAGAAGAATGTTGTGCCAGTGTCTGCAATTGTTACATGTGGCAGAGAAACCTCCGGAGTGGATAGGGCTGGCCATGCTCGAGGAAGTCCAGAGAAAGAATCATTCCTTCTGGGACATGAAGAGAACAGAAAACAGTCCACTCTGCTACACAGTTTCCATGAGAAAAAACAGCTTAGGGATCATCTGGACCCATCACTGAGCAGAGTACAGAATGAAGAGACCAGCAAGCAGCAGGAGGTCATTAGAGAGCCCATAATCCATAAATCAATCTTGCTGACATCTCAGTCCAAAGAGTTGAAGGTAAATGGTGAAGCCAATGCTTTGCTTATTTTCAGAAGTTGATAGAATGGGGAGGAACGTCAGGAGAACTTTACTTGCCTCGTTCTCGTTGTGTAAATTGGAAGCTGGGGTCAGAATTATTCCCGGCCTTAGCCGCCAGGGGCTGTTGGTAGTTTCTTCAGCCTTTGCTTTCCTTAGCCCTTGAACCAAAGACCAGAAAACTGTAGCACTTTACTGTAAGGCTCCTTGTCATTTGCATGTGTGATTCATATGCTCAGGGAGAGCGCTGTGGTGCAGTGCTGCTGGTGCTACATAGCTTGTTTCCTTGCGCATGAAGGGCAGGCTATTGCTGCAGTCATCCTCCAGGGCAGCGCAGGTGGCCTGATGTTTGGGGATCTGTGATGCAGGGAAGTCAGCATTTTGTTTAAAGCACTGAAAAATACCGCCTGGGCAAGTCCCCTGCCTCCTCTTTCTGTTTTATGAATTGAGAAGACAAAAAGGGCTGGTGATCAAATTATTGGTAGAGGCGTAGATAGAATCCAGTCTAAAACTAAGCTGTCTCATTTGGACTTCTGCCAGTTGTCTCCTAAGCTGTACCTTTGAATGTCCTGCTAGACGTATAGGAGGTCTTTATGAATTGTTTTCTTCCCAGGAGAAAGCTGGTCATGTGACTTTTCAGTCTGAGCCTGAAGACTATACCGTACCTGTGAGCAGCTGGTCCGTGCGTCCTTTCCTGGGCTATGATTGGATTGCAGGTGAATCCTAAACCTGAAGCAGAGCTCTCAGCATGATGTGGTAAAACACAGTTTATGACTCCTTGAAGTTGAGGTGTGACAGAACTGCAGACTAAGAGCCCACATAGCAGGTCTCAGCAGAGGAGCTGTAGTTTTGTCAGAAGCCGTTCCCTGTTGGCACCAGAAGTGACCTACGCTTCCCTCGAATGGTGAAGTGGCGGTGGTATGGGAATCCAGGCAGCAAATGGCAAAGCTGAGTTGGGTCGGAGGGGATACCAGGTAACCAAAATGAATGTATGCAATCAGGGACCCAAACCACACAGTAAATCTCTGGCTTGATGTGATGGTGTGCTGCTTTTATAATCTATCTTAGTGCTTCATTCCTTTGGTGGTTTTGACTGTTTCATGTGAGGCTTGCTTTGGTGCTTTCCAAATTTAGTAAATCCTTGAATTTTTCTCTTTCCTTGGTGTTCTTAGGGCTCCTAGATACAAACTCTTCACTAGCAGAAAATTCTGATCAGTACTTTGCTGAGCTGCACGAGTTCCGACAGGCCAACAAAGAAGTGTGTATTCACGAGCAGCACCTGGAGTAAGTGGGTATGGGGGAAGGGCTGAAGCAGCAATGTATCCCTTTAGAGTAATGAGAAGTGTAGTCTGACTGGAGTGGAAACTGTAAAGGTGGCTTTGTAGGCCTTTATTTACCTCCGAATCAGAAATGGAAAAGGTGGGGCTGTTCTGAGGGCGTCCCCCTCCCTGTCACTAACTGATTTGTGTGTTTCTTTAGGCCCAAGGCTCTGGATTACGTAGTTCCTGAACAAGAACTAGATTTGATAACCAGTTCCCATAAGTGTAAGATCAGATTTCTTCCTTATCCAATTTCTGTGAACAAACACCTGAGTAGTCTTTGCCTGTTGTTCTGCGGGAGCCCCACAGTCATGCAAGACAAGGAAGAATGTGTTATTTTTAGCTGCAGCTTCTAAACCAGATTAAACTTCCTACTCCAGAGATACTTGAGTCTTCTAGGGATCCTCTCTCAATCAGTGTCATATTGTTTTGTCAGGGTTTCTTGTAACTGGCTAATGTTCTCTTTTTAAGTTGAGGAGGTTGAAATTTTGGTTTTGCTTTTTAGGAACTTATTTGGGGACGGGAAATGTAAAAGATATTTCAGGAAAAGCAGCTCTTTGTATAGAAAGTATGTATAGCATGGTGGTAGAACACAGCTTTGTTGACTGGGTTGAGAAACCTTTTGATAAACTAGAAATACCACGATATTTCGTTATTCTGTGGTAGGTGTTTACTGTTACCGATTAAACCAGCGCCTCTTCACTGACCCTGTGGATTCAGAATCTGCCTGCCCTGTGTGTAAGATCCCACGTACTCACCAGTCCCCAGAGATACTGGAAGAACCAGCCTATGTCAGGTAGATAAGAATTATTGCTTTGTAATATGCAGAACTCAAGGAAACAATAGGGAAGAAAAAGCTGATCATGTGAGGGAGAGAACAGCATCAAAATATCTCTGTAGAAGGTTGCTGTTCTTAAGACAGAGATATCTCTTATTTAAAAACTCCCTACTGATCTTTACCTTAAGCAAAACCAGTTCTGAAGTCAGTGAGAAATGCATGTTTTATCTGAATTTGGTCCAGAATCTGGATGTACATGTTAAGTGTCTAATGCCCTAATCCAAAACTGTCTCTCTTGGCTCACTCTGGGATTAGACCCTTGGATTCTGAGTGGGGAAGGCATGCAGATTTCCTCTGCCTTGTGGAAGGTGTAGGCAATTACTTCCTTTCTGTGGTTGCAGGGTCAGCATTCCCAGGTCTACTCTTATGCCTGCCTACAAATACAAAGCCCATCGCAGGAGGAGCTTTGAACCAGCAGACGATCTAGCATTACCTTCGGTATGTTGCTGTCTTCTTGCTGTTATCAATGGCACAGCCTAGGCTGGGCATTTTTTACAGCACAAGAAGGAAAGAGAGTCTGAGATGCATCCCCTGGCAGAGTTTCCACTACAATTTCTGATCTGTGTCACCGAGACAGCAAGAAAAGACTTTGGGATGTGCTTCTCAGTTCATATGTTTGTGTAACTGGCAGACAGTACATGACATATCTCCAAATGTTTTATACTAAGAAAAAGAAAGTGCCATATGGAGCTGTATACTTCTGGGGCATGACTCAGCTGTCTTATTTCAGGCATTGACCTTTCAACATGATGAACTGTACCTAAGAGTGCTTGTGTTTCTTTCCACAGATGTTACAGAGTCTAAAAGATAAGCTTTTGTGAAGTATTCACAGTGTATGGGGGCCAGGCAAAATCAATAGTGACAAGGTCAGATTCAAAACTGCTTTTGTAGAGTGGGTCCTGTTTCCCAGCCACTAGGCAATGCTGCAGGCGATACTACCAATCAGACCTACCCTGGCTTAGAGATTTCCAGGGAAGAGGTAGGAAAGAAGCCTGGTTGTGAGGTTTAGGGAGCTAGATGAGTCAGTTGAGACAGGGTGAGAGGTTGGGTGCTGGAGTTCACAAATCAGGAGATCGTTTTTGAAATAATTAACCAGTGAAAGGTGTAAGAGGGGACAGCTATGCAATTTTGCTTCATTAGAGATTTCTTATCTTTCCTGTTAGTCAGATAAAACTTCTCAAAAATTAATTAACTACCTGCTAAAACCTTATTGTGCAGAAGTTATTATTTAGAATGAATGGGCCACAATAGATGAAAAAGGGTAAAGCAGTCTAATGCAGCATTCCCATCTGTTTTCACAGCATTGCCTGGCTGGCTGGGAAAATACCCCTTCCAGGAACCCCATGCTCAGCAGTTTGGATCTGCGAGCTTCACTGGAAGAGAAGCCTCACCATCCTCACCTGGTAAGAACAGCCTGTTAAGAGTCCCTGGAGAATTGTGAATTGCACAGAATTGCAACCCTGTCTCTCTAAAGGGTGCGATAATCATCAATGACTGAGCAAATTAAAATGCGTGGAAGATTATCTCCTTATATTTTCCTTCCACGTTTGTGTAAACTAGCGTACACAGACACAAAAAAGTAAATGGAGCTGGATAACAGCTCACCAGTCTTCATCAAAATGGGAAAAGTCACTTTGGCATTCTTTGATTAATGTCCTCTTCGTTTGGATTCCAGAACTGCATGTCCAGAGTTTCAGAAGGAACCAGAACTAACCAGCTTCTGAACCTGACCCACTTGACACTTCACGTTTAGCAGTGCTTGTCAGCAGAGGGAGCAAAACAAACCTGGACACTACAGAACAGCTCCAAATTTAAATCTGACTGCCTCAACTCTGAGAACCACTGGCTTGATTGCCTCGGGAGAGGGATGGGCGCCGGGTGTGGAAACAACTCTGTTTAGAAAAAAATAAATCTTTGAACAGATTTTTCCCAGTTTTCAGAGTCGTGCGCATATGTGAGCAATCAATACACTTATATGAGAGTTTGCACATTCAACTGTGTTTTTTCATTTTTCTTTTTTGCTTTTTGCAGCTACTTCTAAGCAGATGCATGAGCTTTCCCACCTAGGGCTGGATAAAGTGATATGTACAGGATGACTAACCAGTACTGTTACCCCTAGGACAGCCATAGCAACAGAGTTCACCTGCCACCTCAACTATATAAACCAGAAGTGCAATGTTAACTCTGGATGCCAGGGTGAGGAATGAGCCTATGAGTGGCCTGGTTCAGTTGAATGCGTACAAATATGTTTATTTCAAAATGTTTGAAACGTGACACATGGTTTGCTAGTGCCTTAAAGTTGAGTTACTCAATAATTTAGTTAAAACAAAAAAACCCCAGTTTATTTTCAGTACAATGTCCATAGCTACGGAGTGCATTACAGGAGAGTAATTATGAATGTGAAAAAGCATGTTAAAGTAAAATGATACTTTATTCATCAAAAAGCTAGATAATGCCTTAAAATCTTTGCAAATTATGCTTGCCTCTGCTTTTCCAAGTTTTTCTGAGATAAACAAAAAAGCATTTAAGAGTTTTAAAATTGGACCAAACCAAAATATATTATATAGTGTGATTTATTTGAGCTTTATAGACTGACCTTACTTTCCTTGTCTAAAAACAATAAAACTTATTTTTATTTTGCCTTGAATAAGCCTGAAACAGAAATTTCTGCCTCAAATTTATTTCTGGGTGCTAATTTGACAGAAGAAATTTGGTTTACACCAATGATACTTTCAGCTTCTTGGCATTCACTGTTACTTATATATCAAGTACATTATTTATTAAATCAAATATATGAATAGACTTCTTTTAAGCAAGAAAAGGAATAGTGCAGGTTTATGAAATCTTAATGTAAGACTTGGAATGGAAAATGAAAAGCATGACTGACCAGTTTATCTTTGGGTTGTGCATATGTAGGGTAAAGTGAATGGAATTGGTCTCATTATTTCCATTATTGCAAGTACTAATTTTGAAAGAAATCAGTCCAGTGAATATAAAATATTAGCTGCCAATTTTATACTAAGTAGGGCAAATTCAAGATTTTTACTACCTTGCCTTCAAACCCAAAATGTTAGAGGTCATAAACTGCCTCTTAATTTATCCTGAAAGAAATCACAGCAAGCCTGCTCCACTTTATAAACAGAAAAGATGAAGCCCTGTAAGATAAGTAACTTGTGTGAGATGTGCCTAGTGAATGCAGGACAGAACCAATGTTGAACTCAACATGTCTCTTGATAGCTAGGAATACATTCAATCTTTTACACTTGTGGAAATATTGAAAGTGTGATTATGGCTCTCTTCCTCCACTAGAAACAGGTGAAAGAAGTCAGTGACACTGCACCTGCTTACCCAAGTTAACCTCAATTTGTCTCTTTGTATGCTGGTTCTGACCTGTTTGATCCTGCCCTCATTTGCAAGCTGAAATTGACTGAAAATGCTACCTGTTTATGGAATATCCTTTTTCCTCCCCCCCTTCATCTCCCTCCACATCATTCCATTGCAAAGCTAAGCCTTACAATGCCAGGTCTTGTCCATAGTAGCAAATCTTTAGAAAAGGTGCTTTTCCCCATGTGCACACTTCAGGCTAGCTTTAACTCTGCATTCATACCCTTCCTCTTGTGTTTTCACATCCCCTTTCAGGGAGAGCGTCTCACAAATGCTCAGTCTCAAAATATTTTCTATTTTTGTTGATCTGAGCCATCCCATGTGCCCTTTTTGCTAATAAAACCCCCCCTCACTTTCACGTTCAGAGGACTGATTTCAATTTCCATGTGAAAATACTGGCACCTTAGTTCACTTTCTTGTCTGAACTGGTATAGGAAATTGTTTCCTTTGCTTTTTGTTTATTACCTTTCAGAGCAGAAAAATCTTACTTAGCTATTAACTTGGAGAATGACCTGATGGTTCTGTGTGGTTTTTATAGCTACATCTTCATATCAGTGCCAAATAAGCTTATATCACGACCCTTTTTGCATAGGAAATCTAACCAGTGTACTCAAGTTTTTCAGCAGAGCTTAAGCCGTCTACGTTTTGAAATTTGTACTCTGAGTAGCGCCCATATCAATTTGTAGTTGATAGTACGCAGAAACAGATTTTTCTGCTGGCCAACGTGGTCTTCGCGTTCCAGTCATAACTGAAATTATCAAAGATTTTGCAATTGGTGCTTGGTTAATATTATTGATATATGATCCAGAATTTAATCTAGAACCCTTTGTTTCTAGCTGCACTGTTTCTCTGAAAGAGATACAGGAGGTCTGAAAGTGAGTAAACCCATATTTTTTTAATTAGGACATCTGGCCTTGGATGTGCATGGAGACCTTGTCTTCTAGTAAGAAGGTGATTCACATGTAGTCAAGCTTCTGGTCATAATCTGACTTCAAGATGGAGTTACCAAAAAGATGCTTGCTCTAATTTCATGTGACCTGTAGCTGAGGTAAATGTGTGTACTGCTTTCATCTGTTTTCTCACGCACCCTCTGCAGAGTTCTGTAAGGCTTTGTGCTGAGCGGTGTGACTGCTGATTGTATTCAAGATGTCAAAGTTACATATCCTAGTTAGTTTAATTAGAACAGCAGTAATTCAAGGCATAACACCAGAAGATTCATTTTTAGAAAGCGAGGTCATGCTTTCTGAGAACCAGATTGTTTTATTTTTGGTACTGAATATGAGCCAAAATCTCAGTCCAAAAGATGGGCAAAGGAAGTTTTATCCAGCCTGGAGTAATGGTAAGTAACAGGCCTGCACAAGATGTGTTTGAGCCATGTGTTGTGAGGAGTAGTTTGAGTGTGGATGCATTAATGACTTAGGGTGTAATAACAAGGATTTGCATGGTGGCTTTGTCCTGCAGGAAGTGTTACACAAGCTAATACACCCTTTCATGAAGGAGGGTGACTGAGATCCCGCCTGGGGGTATCTTGTAAAGGACTACATCTACTTACTGGGTGAAAAATTGCATTTCATCCAGTGTTAAAGCAGCTTCTGCACTTTGACTGTGGACGCTGCAGCAACCTGAGCTGTGACGGAGCCAGTGGTGGAATCTGCACTTCCAGGGGAGAGCAGAGGGTGGGGTAATGTGCGTGGGATGTCGGGATTGTGGGTTAGGGAAACGGGAGCATTTTGAAGCCAGAGGTTTCTGGAGGGCAGGCTAAGCAGAGGTGAGACTGTGGGAGTGTAGTGTACCAGTATCACCAGGGCTATGGCCTTAACCACAAAATAATACAAATACTGAACTTTGCTGTGCAGGCGCAGGGCTTTGGGATAGCTTGTTTCCTGTTCCTGGAAGTAGTCATGCTGCTGCGTGGCCTCTGGCGAAGATGTAGGGAGATAAGTTCCCCTAATGTCTGAAATGCTCAGCAGTCCACAAGGAGAAAGAATTCTCTGCAACTGTTGGTGAGGAAGGATCTGCTTAAGTCTGACTTCATTTGTGTTGCCATTACGTTAGAGATCAGGAGATGTTTGTTGTAATGGTTTTAAGATTATATTTTTTTATCTTGATCAGCTAGGCGTGGGAAGAGAGAACTGAAATGTGCCCATAGAGGAGTGGCAGTCTATTCCCAACTGTCTTCTGCAATGGGGCATAAAATTCCTTGGGGAGAAGGCAGGGATCCTTCACTCTGATGTGTGACTGATGCATGTGATTACAGTGGAAGAATTTACTGGGAGAATAATGGAGGCTACAATGTTGCTCACACTTTGATGCCCCTGGAAGCTGGAATAGCTAAAGTGAAGCCCAGTGTTCTTGACTTGACCTGGATTTTTTCTTTTTCCCTTGTTTATAGCACTTGGGAACATGCTGGCTTGTGCAGCTCTCTCCTGTTAATGGCTGGCTCCGGTGTGTCTGCCCTTTTGTGTTAGCTCTCTTTTGGTATGAGTGATGACTGCCTGATGGCTTGATGGTAAAGCTGGTGGTTTAGTTCACCTTTCTGATTATATTGCATGTATATAACGCTGCTGATTCATAAGCTGGGAAATTCAGCTTTGCTTAATTAAACAAATTAGACACAGTAAATAATGCACTTGTGATTGGTTTTAAGAGATGTGTTGTTCAGCCTTTAAAACACAGCTCCGTCTGCTTCTCAGTAACAGTGTTAGACTGCTATCAGTGTTTTGTCTGTTTGCTTGCTCTAGGATTATTGTAAGATAGTTTTGGTGCTGTCTCAGGATCAGGTGTTTCTAGCTGTCAGTACATTGAAAGAATTAATATCAAAAGTCTTGAGTGAATGTAGCGCTGATTTCTTCATTCTGTTTAGTTATCAGCATGTCAAGGAATGACTGTGAAGGTGAAACATCTGCATGTTGTATGAGCTTGCTTGTTGAATGATTTGCAAACTTTGATTTTTGGGGCTTTCATCTCTTTGGAACTTGCGTTTTGAAAGTCGAGAAGAATCTGTTTTCAGAGTGTGTCAAATCTGAAAACACAAGAGAAATTGTGCCCTGGTCTTTGGAGTTGAAAACCTCAATTTCACCACTTTCTTGGGTAATGGCAGACCGAATGTAAGGACTTGGTTTTCTGCTTCAGCTGGTGTATTCCATTGGTTTCTGCAGAGCGAAAACATGCTAGGAAGAGGGAAATAAGTCCCTAAACTGTCAGAGTTGAGATGTTCAGCTATAGTCATAGAAAAAAGTTCTACACTCTTTGAAAAAACTGTGTCCTCAAAATCTTCACATTTGTTTCTTTCATAAAAATTATTCAATATTTACCGCTTTCTTTTGTTTGTGTCAGCAAAGGAGAGCTTATCTGGCTTCTGTTAATAGATAAGCTTTATAACTCTCAGCTTTTAGTTGAGGAGAACCAGAGTAACAAGAAAGAGCATAGGTTACCCAAAAAGTCTGTGACTTTACTGGGAACTAATGACTCCCACTCCTGTGTTTTAACCACATGGCCAGTCTTCCCCAAACATTTTTATTTTTGATTTTGGATTAGAACACATAGAATTGGAAGACTTTCTTGTTTTACTTCCCAAGCACATACATAGAGCACATTTCAGTTGCAACAATAACATTAACAATTGCATATCAGTGAGAAAATGTAACATATTTGCACAAAGGGTACTTCACAACAAAAACTCAGGCATATCATCTTACTGTTTTGAACTTAG